TTACTTGTTGGAGGGAGACAAAAAAGGGACAAAGGAAAAGCCTAATATCTCCTCCCGGAAATAGAGGACCTTGCTCCCATACGAAGGACGCGGCCGTAGTACGCCTGCTCCTTGGAGAGATATCCCTGGATCGACTGCCCGCGCGCAACCACCGTCCTGCGGAGCAGACACAGTCGTAGTGATAATGGTGGTGGTGGCGATGATGGAATGAAGGTCCAGATACAGACAGAGGCGGTCGTCGTATGAGGGTGAGTTGAATGTGAACAAGAAGACCACACGAAACATGGCAACTGTGCAACACCCAACACCACAACGCAACCGTCTTTCATCCTCCTCCTTCTACGTTCTCCGCTGTTCGTCTCTCTTCTCTGCATGTGTCCGCGTCTGAGACGCACTTGTGTGTGAAGCATTCGTTGAGCGCGCTCTGGGAGACGCCGAGGAGTTTTGAAATGCGCGGCAGAAGTTGCGGGGTGGCGATGACGCACTCGTCGTTGGTGATTGCATCAAACTGCAGCTGTCCAATATGCAGGATGGCCGCAACCACGCTGAACAGCTCCTGTGGAGCGGTGGTGGTGTGTGTGTGTGTGTGTGTGTGTGTGTGTGTGTGTGTGTGTGTGTGTGTGTGTGTGTGTGTGTGTGTGTGTGTGGTAGTGATGAACAACAAGACGAGGGACGGGGAGGAGGACAAGGGGAAGGGGGAGGACAGCAATCGTACTACCACTTGTGTTGACACACACACACACACACACACCTTTGTCTCCTCTGCAGCAAAGCCGAGGCGCTTGAAGGCGTCGGCCATCTCGCGATATGCGTCTGCGTCGCTCACACCGTTGACGTTGCACGCATCCCCCTGCTGCGTGTAATGGAAGTCCTGTGCTGTTGCGCCTTCGAGGTCGAGGTGACGAAGGAGGCTCGCGTCGCCGCAGTTGATGAGCATGTAGAACACGTGGAAGTTGCGCTCGCCAGGCATCTGGTACACAACGCGGCACTTTTCAAGGAGATAGTTGAGGATTTTCCCGCCAAGCGGCTCTCCCTGCGTCACAGTAGAATGGGGCAGGGGACGTGTATGTGCGTGTGTGTGATGGAAAGGTGAGTTAGTCTGGTGTCCTCCAGGGGTCGGCAAGTGAGTCAACACACTCAAACATGCACAAACATGCACAAACATGCACACACACATGCACGCACATACAGACCTTGAAGTCGAACTGGACCTCCATGTATTTGCCAAAGCGAGAGGAGTTGTCGTTGCGGATGGTGGTGGCGTTGCCAAACGCTTCCAGAATCGGGTCTGGCGCAGCGACCACGGGTTATGGTGAGGAGGAGGAGGAGGAGGAGGAGGTGGTGGTGGTGGAGGAGGACAGGAAACCACAGTCAACAAGAACAGCAACAACAACAAGAACAGCAACAACAACAACAAGAATAAGAACAAGAGCACGAGATGGCACTGACTGGATTGGAGAAGGCGGTCGCGGATGTTGCCGGCCTTGCCCGTGTTGACAGACGTCTGTGCCAGGAACTGCAAAATCTTCTTCGACGCCTCTGCACCGTGTTGATTTCAGGCCAGGCGGGAGGGGATGGGGTGTGACATGTGTTCGAGGGCCAAGAAAAACAACCGACAGCACGGGGTGAGGAAGTGTGTGTGTGTGTGTGTGTGTGTGTGTGTGTGTGTGTGTGTGTGTGTGTGTGTGTGTGTGTGTGTGTGTGTGTGTGTGTGTGTGTGTGTGTGTGCAGCCAAGTGGTCAGCATGAGGGGCACAAGACCCATGCCAATGCGGCGTTTCGAAGAAACACACACACATGTGCATGTGGGTTTGCTGATAGACAAGTAAGCGGGGCGTACCTGTTTTGCCGGCGCCAGACTCTCCTGAGATGAGGATGCACTGGTCAAGGAGCTCATCGCGCATGGACCGGTATGCCTGATCAGCCAGCGCAAACCTGCATGGTGGCAGTGGATGCGATGGAGTGTGAGTGTGTATGTGCGCGCGCGCGCGTGTGTGTGTGAGTGAATGTGTGTATGTGTATGTGTGTGTAAGTGAGTGTGTGTGAGTGAATGTGTGTATGTGTATGTGTGTGAGCGTGTGTGCGCGCGCGCGTGTGTGTGTGAGTGAGTGAGTGAGTGAGTGAGTGAGTGAGTGAGTGAGTGAGTGAGTGAGTGAGTGAGTGAGTGAGTGCGTGTGCCGACCAATGGGAAGGAAAGAGAGAGGGAGGGCAAGGACCTCAGGAAAGTTATCTCGGTCACAAAGAGAAACGCACACACACATGCAAACATACGCACACAGGCAAACACACGCACACACAGGCAAACACGCACACACACACACACACATGAACTCAACAAGCATCCGGAGCTGCTGTACTCACACATGGGGCGGCAACTCGTAGAGGTTGACGTTCTGATAGATGCTGATGTAGTCGGGGGTGTAGATGGGCAGTTGATGGTACGGGTTGACGCTGACGACGACGTTTGAGATGTACGTGTAGATGAGGTCCTTCTGGAAGCGCACTCTCAGGTTCTCAATGAAGGCGTCCTCGCTCTGGAAGTCCTCCAACAGCACAAAGTCCTGCACACCAACGTTGTCCGCCTCGCTGTGGATGTCACGCAAGTGGCGACCATGGCGCCGCACCACACTCGACATGTCCCCTCCCTTGCTAGCTTGCTTGCAGTGTGTGTGGTTGCTTGTGGTTGGTTGTTCAACCTGCAACGCTCAACAATCACAACAAGCCCAGCTGGTCAAGAGCCCACGTTTGGGTGGGTGGCAGTGGTGTGCTTGTTTGTTGTTGTGGCCGGTGGTGGTGGTGGGCGGATGCAAAAGTGGATGCAGCAATGAGATTTTTTGCTAAAAACATACATGGAAAATCCAATTCATATTACACGTCTGTCTTGTTTTGATCGCTGTGCCGTGCCCAAAATGCATTTTTTGGTGTTTCTTGTCCACACCCACGTGCGACGAGCGACGAGCGACAAGAGCACTCACAGCAGCCACACCAGCAGCCACACCAGCAGCCACACCAGCACAACACCGCAGCGATGAACGGAGCAGGAGGAGGAGCAAAGACGGCGCGCGGGCGCAGGGTGCTCAAGGAGCGCGAGCCCAAGGTGCACGAGGATCCAAAGTCCATCATCTACCTTCACGGCACAAAGTGCTCTCAAGTCGTCAAAGAAGTCTTCAAGGACATGGTGAGTGAAACAAGTGTGTGTGTGGATGGGTGTGCGAGCATGAGCGTTATGTGAGGACGTGTGTGTGTGTGAGTGAATGCGAGTGCGCATGTGCTCATTGTGTGTGCGTGGAATCGTGAGTGCATAAGCGTTGCATAGCGACACTGCTCTGACGCGGTGGCGCTTAGATCCGTCAGTCGAGATCTACTCATGCAACTCGTTCATGCAACTCACACCATGATGCCTGTGTTGTGTTTGCAGCATGATCTCACACGTGGCCAGTCCAGAATATACTCACGGTGAGGATGGTGGCTGCTTGGGTGCATATCATAATAAATGTGATGAGCTGTCCACTGTGTTGTGTTCTTGCTCTCAGCCCTATTGTTCACTCCCTCACTCAGACCGCTTTCCGCTTTCCTCCTCTCTAACACACACACACACACACACACACACACACACACACACACACACACACACACACACACACACACACACACACACACACACACACACACACACACACACACACGTGTGCGTGCACTGGAACAGGAAACATGACCTTCGCCCCATGGATGATCATACATACCTGGAAGGGCTGTCGAGGAAGCAGGACGCCTCCCTCTTCCTTGTTGGTACCTCCAACAAGAAGCGACCCAACTGCATCACATTCGGTGCGTGGCGCTTCTTCGCGCCAACTCAACGCTTTTCCGTGCCCTCGCTTTGTGCCACAAGCGATTTCTTGTTCCCTAAGCGCTCCTCCTGATTGAATCACTGCGTACAACACGCGTTCCCCTTCACATGCCGTGTTCCTACGTTTACACACAGCAAACGCAATGCGATGCAACTCACCGATGGACACACATACACACACACACACACACACACACACACACACACACGCACACACACACACACACACACACACACACACCACACACACACACATACACACACGCCAGCACGCATGTTCAACCACAACTTGCTTGACATGGCGGAGGTGCAAGTGCTCAACTTCAAGCCGAGCCACAAGTTCAAGAACGCGGAGAAGCCCGCAGCCATGTCCAAGCCCGCCATCATCTTTGAGGGCCACAGCTGGGACCACGAGGCCGACTTCAAGCAGCTCAAGAGCATCCTTGCCGATGTGTTCCGTGGACCCGTCGTTTCGCGCGTGAATCTTGCTGGTCTCGATCGCGCCATCGTCTTCTCTGCAGACGAGGCCAGGTTCTCCATGCACCAGTACCGGGTCAAGCTCAAGACGGGCGCATCACAGCTGCCACTCGTCGAGGTGTGTGTATGTGTACGTGTACGTGTATGTGTATGTGTATGTGTATGTGTATGTGTATGTGTATGTATGCGAGTGCGCGTGCTTTATGTGTGCAGGCTCGTTGACATTTTTCAATGTTATTCCTTCCGTTGCACTCTTCACGGTGCTAATGGCGTGCAACTGCTTCTCTGCTGTTGCGCTGCAGCTGGACGAGTGCGGACCCGCCGTGGATTTCAAGATGGGCCGGTGAGTGCACCATTATGGACACGATAACACGCGTGCATCTTCACACACACGCACACACACACACACACACAAACACAAACACACACACACGTACACACATACACACACACACACAAAACCGCACAACATACGGCTGTCATCTCACCATGGCCTCCACTCGCTCGTGTCCCTGCACTGTTTGTCTCCTGCCAGGCTGGTACATCCGTCGCAGGAGCTGATGAAGCAGGCAATGTGGCAACCGAAGCAGCTCATCAAGAAGGCGCCAAAGAACATCGAGTACTCCGCGCTCGGCGAGAAGCTTGGCCGCGTCCATATGCACAAGCAGGTTCGTACTGATTCAGTGTGTGTGTGTATGTGTGTGTGCGTGTGTGCGTGTGTGTGTGATGGCCTTTAGTGCCAATTTGAATGCGCTTGTGGTGTATTCAAATCTGTGTATTATAAATCATGTTCTCACACCCCTTCTTCTCACCACACACGACACACCACACACGACACACACACACCTCTGCTCTTTGCACGTGTGCAGGACATGGGGTCGTTGCAGCTGCGGAAGGTGAAGGCGCTCAAGCGGAGTGCAAAGGAGCGCGCAGAAGCGAAGAAGAACAAACCCGTCGACCCAACAGCAGGCGGACGCAAGAAGCCAAAGCAGACGGCAAAGGCAAAGAATGCAAAGAGGGCAAAGAGGGCGCCCAAGTGATATCACACTCTCTTTGGTGTGTGTGTGGGTGTGTGGGTGTGTGTGTGTGTGTGTGCCTGCAAGAAGCAAGCATGTTCTTGTGCTTTTGCACTGTGGACGCTTTTTGTCTGTTTGAGTGTGTGTGTGTTTGGGGGGGGTAAAGGGTGTGCATGTGTGCTGGCGTGTTGTTCAAGGACAGGTGGTGATGTGCCGTGTGTGCTGATGCGTGGTGTGGTTTGGTGTATTTTGACACAACAAGTTACAGTACATACGTCAAGATGCATGCCATCCGTCACAACGTCAGACCGCCGCTGCTGCGTGAAACCTGTCGATGAGGGTGTTTGAGAGCTGTTGCCGCTGCCCAAGCACGTCTGTGACCAGCAGCGTGAGTGCTGGATACGCAGCCCGCAGTCCTTCCACAGTGCGGGTAATGTCACCCTGTGGCCCGGCGTGCCGCCCGGGCGAGATGAAGGCCAACGCAACAACAACGACGTCACCGGGCTGCCATGGCAATGTGTCCAGCACGTCCTCCAGCAACGGGTCGTTGAAGTCGTACTCCTGGCCGCGTCGGCGCTCCATGGATGCCGCCTGAACAATCACCACGTTCGATCCAAGTTCCCGCCGAACTTGTGCAGCAAGCAGGTTGCGCACGTCATTGACGGCGCGCGTTGGCGTGCCATGGTCCACGACCACAACGTGGATGCGGTTTGTGGTGCTGCGTGTTACGGATCCCGGCGCACCCGCCTCTGCAACGGACGCCTTGCTGTCTGTGCTGCCTGTGGCGGGTGTCCATACGCCAGCGTCGTCAAGAACCACGTGCACGTTTGTGGCGATGGCCTGCGCTATTCTGGGGTCTGACGGTGACACAAGGTGTGGTGCCACTTTGATGGAGACATGATCCGATGTCAGCTTGCCTGCAGCTGCGCGCAGTGCACGCGTGCACTTGGTGATGGCTGTGCTGGGTCCAAGAAACAGCGGCAGCACAACAAAGTGCCGGTGCCCCGCGCGAACAAAGCGCTCCAGCGCCTGTACTGTTGTCTCCGCTGGCTGCCCGTTCAACTCGCGCACGCCAATGCGATTGGAAAAGCCGATGCTCGTGGGCACGACCAAGCTTGCCCCAGTGTGCTGGAGGCTGTCTCTGTGCTGTGGAGGATGACCTGAAACGAGCTTCAGTGTCAACGCGTCTGCAATTCTGCGCATACTCAACACAGACCCTGCCCGCAACGAACCAATGTCCATCAACAAGCAGATGGGCCTGTCTGCGCTTGACACGCGCACGGTTGGTAACAGCGATGCACCCGGGTCGCCACCGCCTTCTTCAAGTGTCTGTGGTTCTCCGGTCGTGCATGTCGCGTCCGCTGTCGCAGTTGGGCTTCGGGCTTGCTCTGTAGCTGCTCGTGCCAACTCACTTCCACTACTGCGACTATTCCTGCTGTTGCTGTTACTGTTGTTGCTGTTGTTGCTACTGTTGTTGCTGCTAGTGTTGTTGCTACTGTTGCTGTTGTTGCTGCTCGTGCTGTTGCTGCTACTGTTGCTGTTGCTGTTGCTGCTAGTGCTGTTGCTGTTACTGCTGCCTTCGTGTTCATGGGCGTGTCCTGTGAGAGCTGCAGCTGCTGCAAGCACAACCCGCACCAAACCCAGCACAGCCAACACCACCATCGCCTCTCTGCTCTGTCAAGCAAGAGTGAGGAAGGACCCAGCGTTGATGAGAATTGGTGAATGATATCATACACTATTCCGCGGCCAAACGCCATCGATGGGCTGTATGAGCTGAGCCATCGCTCACACACACACACACACACACACACTCTCTCTCTCTACCACAAACATCGCTCTCTCACTGGCCTATCAGCGCCATAACCATCACACCACAGGCATGTCACCACCTCCTTCCTCCTCGGTAGCGAATGCGGCTGCGGCTGCCAGCTTTGTAAAGAGTGACGATGACTTGTTCACCTTTACCCCCAAGCACATGTATGTATGCATGTGCGTGTGTGTGCGTGTGTGTGCGTGTGTGTGTGTTATGTGTGTGTGTGTGTGTGTGTGTGTGTGTGTGTGTGTGTGTGTGTGTGTGTGTGCGTGTGTGCGTGCCCTTGTGTTTGGGTTGTTGCTGGCTCTGTTGGTGATGCTGATGGTGATGGTGATGGGAGGTTGATGGATGCATCACACGCCCACGCTTCCTCTCTCCCTCTTTTCCTTGTCAACTCACCCATGTACACACACACACACACACAACACAACACAACACAAACACCTTCAAAGGGATTCCACGCTGAAGCTGAACTTCATGGGTGGCGTGTTGCTGTGGAACTGGATCAGGTTCCTGTGGCGCTTCCGATCTATCATCACCTGGCGCGTGTACTGGAGACGCATCTTGGCCGTTACCTTTGCCTCCATCGTCTCCACAGCCTTTGCAATCATCGAGTGGATCCTCAATGGTGCCAAGATCAGAAACGCCGCCATCAACAAGCGCCCCGTCTTCGTGCTCGGTGTGTCCATCTCAAGACATGATGCCATGCGCCGTTGATCTCAACAGAAGCCACGAATGTGGCTGATCTTCGCTGGTGTCATGGTGTCTCACCTGGTCGCCTGTGGTCCTTCCTTCCTTCCTCCTTCCTTCCTCCTTCCTCCTGCTTCAGGCCACCCGCGCTCTGGAACAACGCTGCTGCACAACCTCCTGTCCGAGAACACCACAGACTTCTTCTGCCCAACAACATTCATCGTAAGTGCAGCGCACACATGTGTGACAAGGCCCTCAGGCACCATCTGCTTCATGTCACACACACACACACACACACACACACACACACACACACACACACACACACACACACACACACACACAGAGATACACCCCACACGTGTACGACACACACACACACACACACACACACACACACACACACACACACACACCAACACACACACACACATAATGTGTTGCTGCACTGGTGGTTCCCTTCCTCTTGAGACAGGTTGGCCTGCACAAGAGCTTCATCTGGCGCTACAACCTGCGGCACAAGCACGGCCAGCACTTGACAAAGACGCGGCCCATGGACGACGTGGCGCTCAACATCGACACACCGCAGGAGGATGAATTTGCATATTTGGTACGCCCTTGTCGTCACGCCGTTTGTGTGATCGCATGCATGTAGGTGTGTGTGTACTCGCACGCATTATGTGTTGTGCATCTGCTTGTGCTTCGCGTGCGCTCGTGAGACGCGCGCTGCTTCCATGCTTCTATGCTTCAATGCTTCTATGCTTCAATGCTTCAATGCTTCAATGCTTCAATGCTTCAATGCTTCCACACTCACGTCGTCCACACTACCACCACCGCCGCCACCAGCGCTCCACAGCTGGCGTGTCCATGTATGCGTCGTTCATCTTCATGTCGCATTCGGAGGAGCTCAAGAAATACATCCGCCTCAAGGATGTCGACCAGCGCGAACGAGACGAGTAGGTTGCAAGGAGCGCAGGAGAGTTTGATGGTGCCTGCTGCCGGACGATGCATCGGTCACACGCATCGGTTCCCTCAGTTGTGGGATGATGCTTTGCTGTGGAGAAGGCTGCCTTTCCTCCTCAAACACACACGCACACATACACATACACACACACATGCACATACACACACACACACACACTGACACTGCAGACACAAGTCTGCAATCATGGACTTTGTGCGTCGGTTGAGCGTGATGGCGAAAGGCAGGCGCCTCCTCCTCAAATCTCCAAGCCACACAGGCAAAGTGAGCCAGCATGCTGTATGCATGTGTGAGAGTGAGAGAGAGTGTGTGTGTGTGTGTGAGAATGCACTGAGGATGCCTCATCCCTCGATTGTTCCGCCTCCACCTTTTGGTGCGAACACACTTGCATATGCACACACACACACACACACGAACGTGCGTACAGGTGAAGTTGCTGCTGGAGCTGTTTCCTGATGCACAGTTTGTGTACATCCACCGCAACCCATACCGCGTGTACCGGTCGACAATCAATCTCTTTGGTCAGCACTGGTGTGCTTGTGATCTTAAGCCCTGTACTGCGCCTTTATCCCGAAACCAACAGCATACACCCTCACTCGCTCGCAAAAGTACACTCACTCTCCTGCTCACACCATCCCCGCCACCACCACTACATTCACACACCACACACCACACACACACACACACCACACACACACCGCTCCCACACCACAAACACACACACACACACACTCTCTCTCCACTTCAATCTTCATTGTTGCAGACAAGTTGCTGTGGTACAACTTCCTGTCCATGCCAACAAATGCGCAGATGAACGAGTTTGTGTTTGCGATGTATGAGGAACTCTTTGCCGGTTACATGGAGGACCGGAAGCTGATTCCAAAACACAACTTGGTGGAAATCTCATACGACGAGCTGCAAGCAGACAAGATCGGCACGGTGCGTGCATGCGTGCGTAAGTGGTGGGGAAAATGCGTGCTGCCTGTGTGTACGTGCGCCTGTGTGCGCCTGTGTATGTGTATGTGTGTGTGTATGTGTATGTGCATGTGTGTGCCTCTGTGTGTGTGTGTGTGTGTGTCTCTCTCTCTCTCTCTGTGCCTGCGTGTGTCTATGCGTGCGCATGCACGAAAGTGTCTGCCGTTGTGCATAACGCACGTGCACGCAAAACCGCACAAGCCACCATCGAACATGCTACTCACCGTCTGTCACTTCCCATCCCTTTGCTGACATGCACGGTGATGCTGGACCAGATTCGCAAAGTGTACGAGCAGCTCGGCTGGCCAGACTTTGAGACGGTGGCGCTGCCCAAACTCAAGGAGCATCTGAATGAGATTCGCGACTTTCAGAAGAACGTCTTTGAACCTCTGACGTCCGCACAGCGTGACGCAATCAACAGGCGGTGGGGCGCCGCGTTTGAGGCGTTTGGTTACGACATGGAGACGGGGAACAGCGACGTTCATCTCACGCACCATTGACGAAGTGCAGCCAAGTGTCAAGTGACTTTCCTCATCGTGTCACAGGCATGCGCGGTTGCTCCCAACGTATCACATACACATGCACGCATCTTTTTTTGTGCGCACATACACATGCACATGCACTGAAACCAGGCTGGCTTCATCGTGCACTGCCAACTGCGACACCCCCACCCCCACCACTCTCTTTTCTTTTCGCGTGACTAGCTTACTTGTACCCACCATCAAAGCCAATGATGCTTCATACATTGTCTCTTGAGCCGTTGTTCGCTCCATAACTGCCATTGGTTTGCGGGCTTCAATTCATGTCATGTCACACCATGTCACATCATGTCAAATATATTCGTTCACATCAGAGTCACGTCATGATGTGGTGTCGTCATGCATAACCACACAGCACACGGGCTCACATCACACGATAAACACAATGGCATCATCTGAACCAGATGAGCCACCTTCCCCGTCATGGTCGTGGTTGTCGTGATGATGATCGTTATCATCACTGCCACCCCGTGTACCCTGATCACCAGCACCACTGCGCCGTGTCTCCCTCTCTCCTCTCGCCGTCACGGGTTGCTCCCCTCGTTCCCGAGCACTCACGCCTTCGCCTACGCTGCCTCCCTGCCCCTTCGAGTCATCACCACCACCATCACCATCACGATCACCACGACTACCATCACCACACCGCGCCAGCGCGTCACTGCCCATCCAATGCATGCCATTGCGGCTCGAGCCTCTCCCCCTGCGTCGTTCTGCACTGCGCGGTCGGTGCTCACCGCGGCCAGCACGATCCTCCACTGCCTCCGCCTGCTGCTGCGATGTCGTGAGGGGCCACGACGCTGTTGGTCGAAAAGCGAGGTCTGTCATCTCCTCTGCAACCAGTTCCGGCGCATACAGGCTGTCGTAGCCCCACTCACTCCCTCTTCTGCTGCGTGTTGCTGTGCTTCGCTTTCGTCTTCTCGTTCTTCTTCTTGCTGCTTTCTTGTCCTTGCCCTGCTTCGTGTCACGCGTCTTTCCACCACCACCACCAACGTCCTGTTCTCCCTCCTCTCCCTCCTCTCCCTCCTCCCCCTCCTCTCCCTCCTCTTCATCGCCGTCGGTAACGTGCTCGGCCCCTTCACCACGACGTTCTGTTCGGCCGCCGCCCCCCTCTCCCGCCTCCTTTACCCGCACGTGCTCCTCTCCCTCGTGCTGCTTCCACTCCTCCTCTTCCTCCGTGTTGCTGATCCCTTTTCGCCCACGGTTCTGTGCGTAGTAGCAATACCGCTCATCCCGCTCCCCACCACTCCATCGCCCAGCCCTACGCTTCTGACCACCACCACCATCACCATCACCATCATCGCCAACGCTGCGGGCTGCCGCTGTTGCCACCTCACTGCTGCTTCGTGCTGACGACGGCGTCATGATCCGGTCGTCCTCCAGCGAGTACAGCGGCAGTCCAGCCCCTGACCTTCGCTCCATCTCCTCATCCTCCACACTCGGTTCGCTCGCTGCCAGCCGCTCACTTGACACACTCGTCATGCCCCGCACGGAGAGCGAGCCACGTGCGCCGCCACCGCCAGCACCGCCGCGTCCACCGGCCCGGCCTCGCACTTCAGCACTGCTGGTGCCCTCGCCTTCTTCCGACACCTGAACTCCCTTTGTTTGTGTTGAGGACTGCCCCAGCTGCTTCCGCGCTGTGCCATCATCATCACCATCACTCAATCGCAAATCGCGCTGTTGCTCGTGCCGCCTCCCCTGGCCATCACCGCCGTCCACGCCACCGTGTCCATCATGCCCATCGCTGCTCGTTGGGCTGAGTGGCGCGAGGGGAGCAGCAGGGGTCGACGCCGCCTTTGGTGACAGCAGCGGCGACGGCGTTGAACGTCCACTGAGCCGCCGGAACCACGACGACAGCAGGCCCCCATTGCCGCGACCATGAACATCCCGCGAACCGCTGCTTGGCGCGCGTGTTGGCAGTCCAACGGACGTGCCGGCACCTGGTCGCGGCTCGCTCTCTGTTCGGTCGCACAGTTGTGCATCCCCGCCTCCTCCTCGTCCTCGTCCTCCTTCGCCGCCCTTTCTTCGTCGCCTCCTTACTGCCGCTGCTGCTGATGCTGTTGATGCCGCCGCACTCCCCGTGTTCTCCGCAGCCATCTGCTTCGTCCACTCGTGCCCACGCCGCAGTAGACGGTGCCACCGGCCAGCGTTGCCGTGACTGTCAGGATGCACGCAGTCCAGCTCGTAAGAGTGTGGGCGACGCGTGATGCTTGGCATGCGGTCTGGCTCGTCCACCCTTCGCCGGTGGTGGGCAGCCTGTCTGAACGCGTTTCGCTGATGGTGCGCCCAGTCCTCCTCGTCAAAACGTTTTTGCCGCACAAGCTGCGCGCGCTGCTTGAGCAGGTTCTGGTACCTTCGCCCGCGGTGGTGGCGGTCGTATTCTTCTTGCATGGCACCGGATGTAAACGCCTTTGAAACGCGATCACGCAAGCGCCCCGTTGCCTGCGTCAGGTGGTGTTGCACTGTTCGGTGCATTTCCGCAGCTTTGGCCTCCGATGACAGCGACGTGTCATCGCGGATGCGACGCGCGCTCACACGCATTGCCGTCACCATCTGTGAATGTGCCACGAGCCACGTTTGTTGTATTGGTTGAGGGTTGTTTGTTTTGTGTGTGTGTGTGTGTGTGTGTGTGTGTGTGTGTGTGTGTGTGTGTGTGTGTGTGTGTGTGTGTGTGTGAGCAGACGTGTGAGCATGAGCGAGCACAGCTAAGGCGGCCACACTAGACACGCAATGATGCACTCCTCATGGCTGACGCACCACCATCACAGCAACAACAACAGCAGCAGCAGAAAAATGGAATGCACGAGCTACACCAACAACACTCGTACCGATCGCGCTGTGCAATGGATGTCCTCCTCAATGTAGTCGAATACGGCCTTTGGCGCCAGGCGGTTTCGGTCCTGGAAGAAGTTGAGCAAATGCTCGTCAATCTTCTCGCCCATCACCCAGAACACGTTCTCCGGGGAAATGCCTGATGTGGTGGGATAAAGAAGCATGTTGTGGGGGGGGGGGATGGAATGGGACAAATAATGTGAGCGTGTGAGCGTGTGTGAGCGTGTGTGAGCGCGTGTGTACGTGTGTGTGTGTGTGCGAGTGTGTGTGCGAGTGTGTGTGCGAGTGTGTGTGCGAGTGTGTGTGCGAGTGTACGTGCACATACAACCAACATGCGTTGCAGCGCTCCATCGCAGGCACCGCGATGTACCCACCATTGATGAGGATGGCAGCGGAGGCGGCGTGGTGGACGGTGAGGTCCACAATCGCCATGAACGTCTTCTTGCCCTCGGTGCTTGCGTCGGGCTTGCGAAGTGGGATGTGCAGCAGTTTCAATATGGGCTTGATTGTCAGGCCCTGCATATCGGGGGATTGTCACGTGCACACGTTCACGCAAGGCGGTGTATTGTGTGAGGAAAGAGGCAAGGGAAGGAGGGACTTTGGAAGAAGCCGCAGGAACGGCACATAGATGGTGATGGTGGTGGTGGTGGTGAAGCAGATGAAATTAACCATTCTCTCATGGTGGTAGAGGAGGAGGAGCTGATGAAATCAACCATTCTCTCGTCCACACCACTCCTTCAACAACTCTCACTACAACACCTGCCCCCGATTACACCACACCAGACATGACCCCATCTCCCCATCTCCCCAGCTCATAGTTCCGTGTGGCGATACGACCGCGCCTCCTCACCTGAACAATGGTCGTGAACATGACGATGCCAATGGTGGTGGAGACGATGAGATTCCGCGTGCGAAATGGCGGGAAGGGCGCACCATCCTCGTCGCACAGCTGTCTGTCGTCGAGGAGAACAACAGCGAGCGCAAAGGCGACGGCGCCACGGAGCCCGCCATAACCAATGATGAACTGCGACTTGAAGGAGATGCGCTTGCCGCCAAAGAGATTTGACAACTCGCACAGCGCCACAATCAGTACGCAGCGCACGAGCAGCACGCCAAAGATCATGGAGAAGGCAAACGCGGTGTCCCAGCCGCTCTCAATCGACAGCACCAGCTCAGTGCCCAGCACGACAAACACGATGGATTCCGCCAGGGACGCTGCAATCTTCAGAATGTACTGCAATCCCGTGCGCGCGTGCGTCTTCAAATTACCAGACGCATAGCGCTGTGTTGCGTGCATGTGTGTGTGTGTGTGTGTTGGTGGGGAGGGACAGGGTATTTATTCGTTAGCTTGCGTGCAATTGCGAAATGTGCCACATAAACACACGCAGCTGCGCATGTTCACACAAACACACACACAGAGATACGAACACACATGCACACACACGCACGCACAGATACGAACACACATGCACACACACGCACGCACACACACCTGCATGACCATGCCGGCGACGAGGATGGAGATGATTCCGGAAAAGTGGAAGATCTCTGCGGTGAGATATGTGATGTACCCAATGCCCACGATGATGATGGGCCCGACGGTGGGCAGCGTTGGCGTCAGCATGATTAGGAGCGACGCAAGCAGGCCGCCGATGCCGCCAAGCAGCACGCCGCCTTGGGAATGTGTGTGTGTGTGTGTGTGTGTGTGTGTGTGTGTGTGTGTGTGTGTGTGTGTGTGTGTGTGTGTGTGTTAGATTGTGAACATTCCTTTGTGTATGCTGGTTGCCACGCGCAAGAACAAACCACAAAGATCAACTCAAGACAAGGCATCCAACCCACCGCGTAGCACAACAAGCATTTCCCCCTCTCCCTCTCTGCTTCCCCTTTGACCTGTACACCTTGCGTGCGCCCACCTCCGAAAGTGACCAGGAATTCTGCAATGCCAATACCAACAGCCTCGCCAGCATGAAGGTGCTTGTCAGGGCGTGCACTCGAGTATGCCAGCGCTACAAAGATTCTGAACGAGCGTGATGATGTGGGCAGCATGTGCGTGGTGTATAGAGAGGGTGTAGTTTCTTGTGAGTTGTGTGAAGCAAGATGTGAAGCAAGCCGCGACACACACACACACACACACACACACACACACACACACACACACACACACACACACACACACACAGCACGGCAGCGGACCTGTAGAGGACGATGGACATGGCATCGTTGATGATGCTTTCGCCGGCAACAACGTTGAAGAGCTTCTGCTGCACACCAATCTCCTCAAACACGGCCAGCACGGCCACAGGGTCCACAGCACTGATCAGCGCGCCAAACACAAGCGCTGTGGAAGGGGTACCACGATGCATGCAGGCATGAATAGCAGCGTTAGTGAGGATGGCTGGGACCCTGGGCCAAGGCGGTGAAGTAAACATCAACACATGCGTGCTATTGGCACGTCGAGACCACAGCTCACGCACACACTCTCTCACACCTTACACACACGCACACACGCACACACGCACACACCGCTCACGCACACGCACACACCGCTCACGCGCACATACACAACCTTCGGTTGCTGGGAGGAACACGCCCGTTCCGTCTGCCACGCCATATGCGAGGTAGCCGATGGCAAAGGTGGAGGCAGCGGTGCCGACGACAGCGAAGAGCAAGATGGTGGACAGGTTGGAGAGGAAGCGGTGCAGGTTGGAGAAATAGCCATCCTGCCGGTCAGCCACATATGCACGCACGCGCACGCGTGATTGTGTGCATGTGAGCTGGCGCAAGCGTGTTGGTTCACGAGCACGTGGACCGAGGGTGGTGTACCTTTCTTGCTCGACAACGAGTGTTTTCATTCACAGTTGCAGTACGCGTTGATGACAGTCCATGTCTTGCGGCTCTCACCTCAAGCACGATCCAAGGCAGCAGGAAGATGAAGAACGTGTGACTGTCAAACCGAAAGCTCTCTGCACGACAGCCAGCCAGCAGCAGGATGAGTTACAAGTTGAGTAAGGTGGGGGGCAAAGCCTGCAAAAGTATGGCGCAGACAGCCACAGACACAGACAGGCACACAGACACACACACACACACACGCGGACATCCAGACATCCAGACAGACAGGCACACACGCACATAGACACAGCCTCACAAACACACACATCGACACAGCCTCACACACACACACACATAACCACGCAAACACACAGCCTCACAAACACACATAAACACGCAAACACACACACACACACATCTCCTGGGGCTGACCGATGTTCTGGGATTTGAGGTAGAAGCCGATGATGATGCCCAAGAAGATGGTGGCAATGGAGTCTGGAATGAACCTGTTGAGCTTGAGGTCGTGGAAGAGCACGCGCATGCAGAGGAGCACGAGCAGCACGAACGTCACGCTGACCGGAAACTTCACAGGCGAAAAGTGGATGTCCACAACCTGTCGGCCAATGTCTTCCTCATACGTGTGCAGCTGCTCTGCGTTACCAAGCTGCGACGCTGGAATTGTGTACCCACTCTGGTTGAGGAAGCTCGCGTCGCACAAGTCAACGGCAGAGGCAGCTGCAGCAACCCCACTGGTGTTGGACACTGCATCGTTCACGCCGCTGAGCACAAACACCACGAGCGAAAGAAACACCGGCAGCACCGACACCGGCAGCGGCAGTGGCAGCGTTCTCGCACGCCCTGGCTTCATCGCGGACCACCACCACCACCACCGACTCGACGAGCGCCAGGGCGGTCTTCTTTTCATCCCCACCATCTGTAGCATCTGTCTGCAGTGCGTGCCTGCCCAAGGAAAGTGCTGCTGACACGACGCAGAGCCGCCAGCGAATGAACGGTTGGTTGCCTTCCTCCCTTCCCTGCGTGCTGGCTGCTTTCTCGCTCGATTGTTCCACGTCCAACGCAAGTCAGCCATCAATCTTCCCCTTGCGCAGTGCGTTGAATTGCCTGTCATCAGCAGACAGTGTGTTGCTTCTGCTGTTTGTTTGCGCGCCGCCAGCGGACAATCAATGTATGCTTTTTCGTTGATATCTTCAGATAAACTTCCATATTTGCTCCACTTTCTGTGTTTTGGGCTTGTGTTTGTTTTGCTTGCGACATCTCTTCCTTCGCCCACAACGACCGCGATCACGATGATGATGCCGAGGATGGAGCGAGGCAGCGTGCTGCTGCTTGCTGTGGTGGCATGTGCGGCCATGATGGCTGCTGTTGTGAACGGTGCCGGTGAAGGGCCGACCCGAGTGAAGATTCTGGACGGAGAGGTGCAAGGTTTTGCCACGAAGGATGCACGCATCTGGAAAGGCATTCCTTATGCTGCTCCACCTGTTGGTGAGCGTCGTTGGACAAGCACCACCAAGGTCACCCCATGGTCCAGTGTCAAGAACACCACCACCTTTGGTCCCGGCTGCCCACAGGTTGGTTATTTGTCTACGTGCGCTGCGTGTGTATGTGTGTGTCTGTCTGTGTGTGTCTGTCTGTGTATGTGTGTGCGGCGTGTCTGTCTGTGTGTCTGTGTGTGTGCATTAACCAACCCCCATCCTTTGATCGCCGATCCCCGACTCTCCTCACATAAACACACACGCACACGCTCGCATGCACGCACACATACACGCACTGCAGCAATGCCATCTGCCGCCGCTTGGATGCCAGGCCGACCTGAGCGAGGACTGCCTGTACTTGAACGTGTACGCACCGCTGAAACAGGGCAAGTACGCCGTCATGGTGTGGTTCCACGGTGGCCGCTACGAGCAAGGCTCCGAGGGCGTGGAGCTGTACGATGCTCAGCGCGTCGTCGCCGCCCACGACGTTGTTGTGGTCACCGTCAACTACCGCCTGGGCGTCCTGGGCTTCCTGGCCATGCCCGACCTGGGCCTCGAGGGCAACTACGGCCTCCTCGACCAGCAGTTCTCCCTGCGCTGGGTGCGCGACAACGTGGCGGCCTTTGGCGGCGACCCGTCCAAGGTGACCATCTTTGGCCAGAGCGCGGGCGCAACCAGCGTGTCGACGCACCTCGTGTCCCCGCAGTCGAAGGGCCTCTTCCGCGGCGCTATTGTGGAGAGCTCGCCCTATGCGCTGCCGCTGCTCACGCCAGACAAGGCCGGCGAACACTACGCCGTGTTTGCCAAGGACGCCGGTTGCAACCCAAGCGACAAGAAGTGCCTGTACAGCCTCACGCCAGACCAGGTCGTGACGGCGCAGATGACGGCGCAGAACAAGATCTGGCTCGACCGCCCGCTCGTCATGTTCTTTCCGTGGACCCCGACGGTCGACGGCAAGCTACTCCCCGCGGACCCGCTCACCGCCATTGGCAAGGGCGAGTACAACAAGGTGCCAGTGGTCATCGGCAACGTGGGCCAGGAGGCGTGGCCGTTTGTCTTTGAAGCCTTCCCCAAGCTGAACAAGCTCGAGGCGGAGGCCCTGATTGACGTCATCTTTGGCGGCCACCACGAGCCCAAGGAGATTCGCAAGATGTACCCGGTCCCCGAACACATGGACGACTACCGCCCGTACATCTCGCGCCTTGCGTCGGACTTCATCATTGACTGCTCCTCCCGCAACGTCACGCTGCGCATGCGCGAGGACAATGTGCCCGTGTACCATTACGTGTTTGACCACGCGTGGGACGAGCGCGGGCACTGGGGCCCAAACTATACGTTCTGCGAGGGCCACGCCTGCCACGCGGTTGAGCTGCCATTTGTGTTCGACTCTGCGCCGCTGTGTGGCGTCAACTTTGATGCCAAGGAGAAGCAGCTGACCAAGTCGCTCACCGCGTACTGGACCAACTTTGCCAAGACGCTGGCGCCCGGCACGAGCCACAACGTCACGTGGCCCGTCTTCACCAAGAAGGAGCAGCCCTCCCTCAACTTCACCACTGCCGGTGTGCAGTCGCACGTGCAGAACAACATCCGCGCAAAGTATTGCGATTTCTGGGACCTCTCCCCCAAGGGCTACGTTTTCTAGGATGTTGGTGACATGACATGTCATGCTGGCAGACGGTTGTGCTGTCCTCAGACTCACTCACTCACTCACACACTCCCTCACTCACTCACACGGCACACTCACTCACTCACTCACTCACTCACTCCTCACCCACTCACCCACAAGAGGTTTCTTTTTCCGGTCATACTTGACAGTATGATCTGTCGTCTGCATGTGTACTCCTCCCTTCTCTGCCCCTCCTCCCTGCGTTGGCCGCAGTATTCATCCTTGTGTTCTTGTTCTTTCTCCACCTTTTGCTCTCTCTCTCTCTCTCCTTCTTCTTCTCTCGTCACTCGCTTGCTATCTTGCTTGCTGTCCTTTTGTGTTCTCTCGCTTGGACTATGGTGTGTATCATCAGAAGTGCAAATGCATTCATCCACACGAGCATACACACGAACCAGTCCATAAGTGAATCACATCATTTGGGCAGCAGCACTCAGAGCCCCTGCAGTGCACACTCCACCACTGCGGAACCCCACATTGTAACGACAGACACTAACGTGGGCAAGTGCACCTTGTGCTTCGTTGTAACACATAATGTAAGCAGGTGAAGAAACACATGTAACAATGCAACAAACACGGACAAGGCATCATTTCACACACACACACACACACGCACACGCACACATGTGTGCATGATGACCAGCGCGCAATCACGCAAGCAAGGGTGGAACACACAAAACAGGGCGGCAACAGCATGCAACACGCGCTGTTCACACCATTACGTAACAGCTGACGCCACAAGCAGCGTCGCACCACACCTTCCCACGTCCTCCACACGTTCCCCACTCCGCCTCGCCACCCACGCCCCCTCAAACAGCTTCGTTGGTCAGGCCAGGTTGGGGGGGGGGGGTCGCATTACAAGCGGTCTGCGACGAGCGCGCTGGCGGTGCGAGAGCCAATACGGAAGGCGTAGCGCGCCGTGTCGTAGCCAGCCGTGTCCACAAAGTACAGCTCATATCCCATGGCTGCCGCCTCCTTGCTCGGTGCGCGCCCAGCACTTGTGCCGGCAGTGGCGCTGGCGTCCAGCTTGCGCATGAGGAGGAAGGCATCTGCCTTCGGGTGCAGGGTGTCCGTGGGCTGGGTGGAGGCCGGCACGGTGAGGAGCGGCAGGGCATGAAGGGCGTCCCACTGGTCGGCGCTGAAGTGGTCGACAACCGGCATGTTGGTCCACTTGAGCGGCTTTCGCACGACGAGGTCATCAAACAGATGCACGTTCACTGCATCGCCCTGCGTGCGACCTGGAAGGGTGCGGGTCGTTGCGTTGTGTGTGTTGTTTGAAACAGCGGACGTGTATGGACTGACAGTGAGATGATGACTGCTGGGAGGTGTGATGTCGCGCAAGTACGAAAACAAGCACAAGGACACGCAGACACGGACACACAAGCACACGTGTGCACACGCACACAAGCACACAAACACACACACACACACACACACACACAAGCACACACACAAGCACACAAGCACACACACACACACACGCGCGCGCGCGCGCGCGCACAAGCACACCTTGGCGTGAGGATGCGGTTGCTGCTGGTGGTGCACCAGCGGTGCTGGAAGATGAGGGCGCTGCAACCACCTTCTGCGTCTCCGGGTCTTGTGACCACTGCAGCCAGCTACCAACGTAGTTGGAGCAGTTCTTCCACCCCTTGGAGGCGAGATACACCTGGGCCAGATGCGAGCGCACGCCCGCTTTGCAGTAGACGACCACCTTCTGGTCTGATGTCGGCAGGTGCACGCCGCCAACCCACGCGTCCTCGGGGTCGCTGGCGTCCACGTCCGAGTTGAGCAGCGTGTTGAGCGGCACGTTCACGGCCGTCGGGATGTGGCCTTGCTCAAACTCAGACGGCTCGCGCACGTCCATGATGAAGGTGTCGTGGGCACCGACGCAGTGTTTCATGGCATCCAAGCCAATGGCCCGCAGCTGCGTGCTGCTCGTGTGCAGGTGCTCGTGTGCGCCACCGCATGATGCAGCATCGTCATCGTCGTCCCTGTGTCGCTGCGCCCCATCGCGCACGCACAGCCACCGCTGCTGCAAGCATGGTGCCCGAGCAGCAGTGGCAGCAGTGGCAGTGGCAGTGCGTGCGACTGCTGTTGCTCGAGTGAGCGCGGCCAGGCTTCGTCGGGCAGTGGCCAAGCGCGACGCCGTCATGCGGAGTGCAAGGACACGCATCGTCGTCGTCATCATTGGTGTCGGTGTTGGTCTTGTTGTGGTGAACAAAGGGGCAAGTGTTGGTGAAATGAACGTGTACAGGTACAGTGTGTGTGTGTGTGTGTGTGTGTGTGTGTGTGTGTGTGTGTGTGTGTGTGTGTGTGTGTGTGCGTCCGTCGATGAAATGATGGGCGTGGGTGAGCTGGCGAGAGCGTGGCTTGCGTGGTTAGGGTTGCTTCTGCTGCTGGTGTTTTGTTTGGATTTGTGCACACGCACACACGCACACATGCACGCACAAGGGGAAAGCAGGAAGGACCACGCTTTGCCTGTGCAATTTCAGGCCTCTGTTGCGTTTTGACTTGCGCCATGTGTGCGCTGGCTGCAGTTGGTTTGCCTCTCTGCGCGTGCATGTGTGTCCGTCTCAACTTCTTGCATGCATGTCCTTTACACCGACCTACAATTATAACAGCAACAGCAGCAGCAGGCAGCAAACAGCAGGCAGCAGGCAGCAGAAACGGCGTGTTTCCCTCGAAACAACACACGCGTGCAACACAACACGCTGTATGCACGCAAAACAAGCCTCAAGCCACCACCACCAGCCAAGCAACAGGTCAGCACGACACAGGCTGCTGCATCGTCGCTGTCAAGCCAGGCCGTACAAGCCATCATCGTCTTCGTCATCGTCATCATCGCCATCGTGGGCTGTGGTGGTGACAAACAGATCCCACTTGGATGCCTTCTTCTTCCTCATCACCTCTTGCTCTTGCTGCTCTTGCTGCTGTTGGTGTCGCTGGTGTCGCTGGTGTTGTGTGGTAGAGGAAGGGCGGGTGGGTACAAGAGACGATGTGCGTGGCGCTGATGTCAATAACGACGGCTGCTGTTGTTGGTGCTTGTGTTGATGGTGGTGGCGGTCGTGGGGTGGCTGCGGCGTTCGATGCGCACCTGCTGCCGAAGATGATGACACGTGCTGGCTCGATGGTGCCAATGGCAACGACAACGACAACGATGACGATGGTGATGCTGAAGATGTGTGGTGGTGCCACGCCCGCAGCCGTGCTGCTGCCGCCGTTGCTGTCGCCGCTGCTGCGCCTCCCGGTGTCATTGCGTGTGTACTTGCAGGCATTCTCACAGGGGCGGCCATCGGTGTCCCCGGCACGGCCACACGTGCCCGCGATCCCATTGACAAGTGGGGCCGCTTGCACACTGGCGTACCCCCACCACCCATGCCCGCACCCGCGCGCACGCCACAAACGCGTTCATTCGCATGCTGAAGTGGGGACACGGTGGACGCGTGGTCGCTGTCCCACTGCTCTTCGTCCTGTATCCTTTTGCGCCTGGGCACACCCACACTGTGGCGGTGTGTTGAGCCCCCACGCGCGTGGGCAGCTCGTACGTATGCAGATGCGCGCATGTGACTGCCCATGTCTGCTGCCTCGGCCTCCCCAACAGCCGCGGTTGCTGCCGCTGTCAATGCGCTGTCATCCTCCAGACTGTCGTGTCGATGCCTTGGCTGGCGGCGAACATTCTGCACTGGCGGCCCATGTAAATGTTGCCGTTGGTGATCATAGCAAGTCCTCGCCTGCTGTCTTCGTTGCTGGTGCTGGTGCTGCTGTTGTTGTCGGTGGCGCGCGCGTTGTTGGGCCGATGTGTTTCGCTTTGGTCCTCGACGAAGATCACGCAGCAGCTGTGAAAACTGCGTGGCATCTGTCGTGACCTGCACGCCGCCAACGCCGGTAACATCTTCTTCTTCATCGTCTTCACCCTCTTGCGGTCGCTGCATGGGACAAGAGAAAGACGCGTATTTGGGCGATGGGGCAGCGTGAGCAGTGAGTGGAATGCAGAGGCGATGTCGGACGGGCTATGTGAAGTACACGCCATCGCGAGCTGTTGACACAGACATATAGAGAGCACGTTTGTGTGTGAATGCTGATGTGTGTGCGTGTGATATGATGATGAAGCAGTGCTCACCTCGACAAACGCATCCCATTTGCTTTGTTTTGGTGTTTGAAATTCAGGAGCATGAGTGGTCGGAGAAGGGTTGTCAATGCTGTCCCCATATTCTGCGTGCCACGAATCCATGGCATCCCCCTCTTCTGCTTCGTACTCCGTGTAGTCTCGTTCCATTGCCGTTTCAGCGCTGTCATGCACGCGATGAGGTGGACTGTAAGCGTCTGCCATGACCTTGAACAGAACCATCGCACAGAGAGAGAGAGAGAGAGAGGCGGAGTCGACACACGCACAGAGTGTGTGTGTGTGTGTGTGTCGACACGTACGCATACACACACATACACAAACACAGGGTCGACATGCTGAGCTTACGAAATGGATTCCATTTCTCCACGCCGCAAGTTGAGTGCCTGCACGCGCGTTCTGCAATCTTTGCCTTCGACAGCGCACACAGGAAAAAAAAGCGATGGTGATCATGGGCACGGATTGGGGTGGTCGCTCTGCCAGCACGCAAGGAAGCATGCATAAATGTACGCACGCAAGGAAGCACAGCAATGGTGTGCGATTGTGTGTGTGTGGGGGGGGGGGTCTGACTGCACACGACACACCAGGCAGTACCTGTGCCCTTGAAGAAGATTTTGCGCACAGACTGTGCCTCGCCGCAGAGTTTGCACTTCCATTTCTTCGTCTGATGGAGGCGGGGAAAAAGGCGACAACAAAAAACATACAAGGAAGGGAAATGAGGCATCACCACATGTGAGCTGTTGTGCCAGCGACCCCGTGTGCACTCGATATGATGTAGCAGAGCCTTGAAGTGCGCGCTCACAGCACCCAACAAGCAAGGCAGCACAAAAACACTACTAGCACACTGAAGCTGTTCCTTCCACGCCACAGGGGTCATCTTCAGGCCGCACTCCCCGACCTTCTTCTGTTGCTGGACTTGGAACGCGTCGCAGTTGAAGCACTGCAGCGCCAAGAACACCTGTGGCATATTGCGATGGCTGGTCGTGTTTCGGCGGCGGAAATCGTCGAAAGTCGTTAATGCCACCAACAAATCTTCAGAACTTTGATGCGCGGAAACGGCGAAAGACGAAGACGACCAGCACAGCAACCAACCGCACAGCAACAGCTCGAAGCAGCACAGCTGGCCATGTCATCGTTGCCGTTGTCTCCTTCTTCCAGTGTGATGCGCACGGGAGCGCTTTTTGGGTTTGCAGCAGTGGCGCTCGGGGCCTTTGGCGCACACGGTCTCAAGAACATCATCTCCGACCAACACCTGCTCAAAGTATGGATGCCTCTGTGTCGTGTGCGTGTGTGTTTGTGCTTGTGTTTGAATACGAGTGCGCATGCTTGTGTATGAATGTGGTTGCCTTTGTATTTGCTGCGCGCGCGTGTGTGTGTGTGTGTGTGCACAGATGCACGTGTGTACACATGTGTGGCGGTGGCGGTGGCTCTCCGGTTTTGAGTCCCGCTGTTTTTCATTCTTCTCGCCACGCTCACACCTCATACACAACCCCTCCCCCCGTTGTGCAGTCGTGGGAGACGGCCGCGCACTACCAGCTTGTTCACAGCGTGATGCTGTGCATGTGCGGTACACTTGGGAACCAAGTCAGCAACAGAACTTCCAACCTGTTTAGCCTTGGCACGATCCTTTTCTCCGGCAGCATCTATGGCCTCGTACTCACAAGATGGAAGGTCCTCGGTGAGTGCCTCCGGCTGCGTGTCCTGTGCGTGTGTTTTCGTGCGATTCTGGGTGTGAGCACGCTTGTGCGTTTGTCAGGGTGTATGTGCTCTTGAGCATGCTTCGCCGTCATGTGAACCGCGCGTGCGTTTTCCTCTTACGCGTATGTACATTCTCACCAGCCAAGTTGTCTCTTGACACTTGCCATCATACATATGTTCTTGACAGGCCCCGTGACCCCCATTGGAGGGTTGCTGCTGCTTGGCGGCTGGGCGTCACTCGGAGTCGACTTTATGTGAATGCAACACACTGCCAACAAATCGTGCGTGTGGAGGACAGGCGCACACACGTGTGCATGCGCTGATTGTGCCCGTCCCACCCCCGCTGTTACTTGACTGGACTCGAGAGCACGTGTGTCGTGTGAATTGTGTGGTGGCTCTTGCCCATCAGTAAACCAAAACGAGAACAAAGCAGCAGCAACAACGTGCTAAAGCTGCATGAACAACGACCCTGAAACGAGGGAGGGGTGGGGCGAGGCACGCGCAGTAAACTTCGACCACACAAACAGAAGAAACAGAATAACAAAGAGACAGAAAGACAGAAAGATGGACAGTCAAACAGAGAACAAACAAACAAACAAACAAACACACACACACACACACACACGAACAAACAACCAACCAAACGAACAAACAAACAAACAGGGCAGACAGTCAAACGAACGCAGAACAAGCAAGGAAGTAACTGTATGTGCCTCCAGTGGTGGGCATCAGTTGATGAGGGGCGTGCGTTCGTCCAGGAGCCGTGATGCCGACATTTCTCCATCAGCGCGGCCATCACGCTGACGCCGACGCCATGTAGCGCCAAACGGATCCGTCCACACACGCTGCTGCTGCTGCTGCTGCTGCTGGCGGTTGCGGCGGTGTGGTGGACCAGCAAGCTCGCGGTGGGTTGCTCGGGGTGCGGCCGTGGTGGTGGTAGCGCTGGTGGTGGTGGCGGAGTTGGTGAGGGAGTGGTATGTGGACGGGCAGCTGATGTCGGCCGTGTCGTCACTGCCATCCGTGGAGATCTCATCACCAGCACCGCTATCGTGGTTCACGATCAACGGCCCGTCCAACACGTCACTACCATCATCATCATCGTCGTCGTCGTCGTCGTCGTCGTCGTCGTCGTCGCACTCTGAGCGGCCAATGGCATCTGACACCTCTTGTCGCCAATTGGTCGACAGCACGAAGAACACAAACGAGCACACAAACTGGAAAACATTGTTGGACGGGGGCGTGCGGGGACGGCCAGGAGGGGGCAGCGTGAGCGCAAGAATATGTCGCGTTTGTTGTGTGCATATTCTCTCGTCGCTCGATCGTGCAGCCTTCGCTCTTTGGCAAGACCACACACACACACACACACACACACACACACACACACACACACACACACACACACACACACACACACACATCACATCACATCACATCACATGACGCTGTTGCACTGCAGCTGGCCCCTCTTGGCGCACCTTCAACGAGTCGCCGATGCCAGTGCCGAGGAGAAGGCCTGGCGCTCCAAACCCGAGCTTGAAGCAGAGGACATATGCAAGCGGCAGCGAGAGCGCATACGCAAATGCCAGCTGGAAGCCCGCCATCACCAGGATGCGGCCCATGCCTGCAGGCAACAACGGTGTGGCGTCAATGGGTGTGCAGGGAAGTTAGAACGTGAGGGCTGGGGAAGAGGATAGGATCATTGGTGTGATTGTTGTTGGTTGAAGTGGCGAGACTTGTGTGCATGTACACACGAGGCAGCATGTGCGGGCTTGATGAGATGCCATGCACGTCCTTCAACAACGCACAAGAAAATACACTACACACCACGCAACACCAGCACCACGCATCACCTTCGAGGGTTGAGAGGACGCTGCCTGCGAAACAGTACGCGGTGAAGCAGAGCGCCATCACCTCTGCAAGATCGCCCGTCGCATCCTGCACTTGCTTCGAGCTGCCACGAACCAGCCATGATGGTGGTGAGTGAAGCACGTTTGGAGCGGGGGAGTTGAATGAGAACCACAATTGGGTACAATGGAGTAGGAGAGAGGGGGGGCAGGATGAACGAACAAAAGTGAAGACAAATCAGTGGTGTCACCCTGTGCAAGCAGCACGCAGCAAGCAGCAAGCAAGATAACAAACAACACAGGGGAACAAGCATTCCACAAGGGTGCGCAAGCTCAGCCAATCACGTACTTTGAGAAAGGAACCGCCAAGTAGCCGCGAAGGCCAATGCAGGCGATGAAAACGAAAATGTTCAGTACAAGGGTCAGGATTGACCCGAGGAGGAAGGAGAGTTTTGCCTGCAGGCATCGTCAAACACGCGAGCAACAGCGATCACGGGTGAACAAGAAGCTGGTGCAACCATGCGTGCGTGTGTGTGCGTGTGTGTGATATGTGTGTGTGTGTGTGTGTGTGTATGTGTGTGTGTGTGT